AATAATTTTAAAATAAATAAAAAAATTAACAATTTTAACCCCACCTTTTAGTAAATAATTTTCTTATTTTCTACTGTCTTGTACTTTTTTCTACAGTTCCCCCTCATAATCAGCAACAACTTGATGTTAATAAACTTAAAAATTTATTACTAAGAACAAAACTCAACAAATACTTACAAATTAATTAAACAGATAGAATACATGTTCTGAATTTATTTATTTATTGCTACAAGATAGAATAAAAGAAACATACAAAAAAAAATATACAAATTTCAATACTTGAAAAGAAGAAGAAGAAGAAGAAGAAGAAGAAAAAGTAAAGAAAATTAAAAAGAATATAAAGTGTGAAGGGAGAATATGTGGGGAATACAAAAGAATAGGGTCCAGATATGCTAAAGTTGAAGATCTGAACTTTACGGTGAAGTTGATCTATTATCGGACTAAAATGGAATCATTTCGGTGATTTAAACCATTTATCTTATACAACTAAGAAAATAATCCATACAAAAAATTAAATTGGCCCAATATCGATTGTTGTACTATTATATTTTTTACTTGTCATTTCTCATGCATTAGGGCTTAAACACTCGGACACTTATTCGGACCCTCTTGCATGATGGCAGATATGTATTTACGGTGCTTATTTTTCATTTCTCATGCATTACGGTTACATACTGGGACACTTATTCGGAACCTCTTGCATGATAGCGGATATGTAATCATGGTGTTTAGTTGCCATTTCTCATGCATTAGGGCTTTAACACTCAGACACTTATTCGGACCCTCATGCCTGATGGCAGATATGTAATTATGGTGTTTATTTATCATTTCTCGTGCATTAGGGTTTAAACACTCAGATACTTATTCGGACCCTCCTGCATGATGGCAAATATGTAATTATGGTGTTTACTTGCCATTTCTCATGCATTAGCGTTTAAGCACTCGGACACTTATTCGGACCCTCTTGCATGATGGCGGATATGTAATTATGGCGTTTATTTTCCATTTCTCATGCTTTAGGGTTTAAATACTGGGACACTTATTCGGACCCCCTTGCATGATGGCAGATATGTAATTACGGTGTTCACTTGCCATTTCTCATGCATTAGGGTTTAAACACTCGGACACTTATTCCGTCCCTCTTGCATGGTGGCAGATATGTAATTATGGTGTTTAATCACCATTTCTCACGCATTACGGCTTTAACACTCGGACACTTATTCGGACCCTCTTACATGATGGCAGATATGTAATTATGGTGTTTACTTGCCATTTCTCATGCATTAGGGTTTAAACACTCGGACACTGGTTCGAACCCTCTTGCATGATGGCAGATATGTAATTATGGTGTTTATTTGCCATTTCTCATGCATTAGGGTTTAAACACTCGAACACTTATTCGGACCCTCTTGCATGATGGCATATATGTAATTATGGCGTTTACTTGCCATTTTTCACGCATTAGGGTTTAAACACTCGGACAATTATTCGGACCCTCTTGCGTGATGGCAGATTTCTAATTGTGGCGTTTATTTGCCATTTCTCATGCATTAGGGTTTAAACACTCAGACACTTATTCCGACCCTCTTGCATGATGGTAGATATGTAATTATGGTGTTTACTTGCCATTTCTCAAGCATTAGGGTTTAAACACTCGGACACTTATTCGGACCCTTTTGCATGATAACAGATATTTAATTATGGCGTTTGTTTGCCATTTCTCATGCATTAGGGTTTGAACACTCGGACACTTATTCGGACCCCCTTGCACGATTGCAGAGATGTAATTATGCAGTTTACTTGCCATTTCACATGCAATAAGGTTTAAACACTCGGACACTTATTTGGACCCTCTTGCATGATGGCAGATATGTAATTATGGTGTTTATTTACCATTTCTCTTGCATTAGGGTATAAATACTCGGACACTTATTCAGACCCTCTTGCATGATGGCAGATAAGTAATTATGCTATTTAGTTGCCATTTCTCAAGCATTGGGGCTTAAACACTCGGACACTTATTCGGATCCCCTTGCATGATGGGAGATATGTAATTATGGCGTTTATTTGCCATTTCTCATGCAATAGGGTTTAAACACTCGGACACTTATTCAGACCCGCTTACGTGATGGCAGATATGTAATTATGGAGTTTATTTACCATTTCTCTTGCATTTGGGTATAAATACTCGGACACTTATTCCGACCCTCTTGCATGATGGCAGATATGAAATTTCGGTGTTTACTTGCCATTTCTCATGCATTAGGGCTTAAACACTCGGACACTTATTCGGACCCCTGGCATGCTGGCAGATATGTAGTTATGGTGTTTATTTGCCATTTCTCATGCGTTAGGGTTCAAACACTCGGACACTTATTTAGACCCGCTTAGTGGATGGCAGATATGTAAATATGGTGTTTACATGCCATTTCTCATGCATTAGTGCTTTAACACTTGGGCACTTATTCGGACCCACATGCATGATGGCAGATATGTAATTACGGTGTTTATTTATCATTTCTCATGCATCAGGGTTTAAACACTCAGACACTTATTCGGACCCTCTTGCATGAGGGTAGATATGTAATTATGGTGTTTAATCACCATTTCCCATGCATTAGGGCTTTAACACTCGGACACTTATTCGGACCCTCTTGCATGATGGCAGATATGTAATTCTGGGGTTTACTTGTCGTTTCTCATGCATTAGGGTTTAACCACTCGGACACTTATTCGGACCCTCTTGCATGATGGCAGATATGTAATTATGGTGTTTATTTGCCATTTCTCATGCCTTAGGGTTTAAACACTCGGACACTTATCCGGACCCTCTTGAATGATGGCAAATATGTAATTATGGCGTTTGCTAGCCATTTCTCATGCATTAGGGTTTAAACACTCGGACACTTATTCGGACCCTCTTGCATGATGGCAGATATGTCATTATGGTGTTTATATGCCATTTCTCTTGTGTTAGGGTTTTAATACTCGGACACTTATTCAGACCCGCTTACGTCATGGCAGATATGTAATTATGGCGTTTACTTGCCATTTGTCATGCATTAGGGCTTTAACAATCGGACACTTATTCGGACCCTCACGCATGATGGAAGATATGTAATTATGGTGTTTATTTATCATTTCTCATGTATTACGGTTTAAACACTTAGACACTTATTCGGACCCTCTTGCACGATGGAAGATATGTAATTATGGTGTTTACTTGCCATTTCTCATGCATTTGGGTTTAAACACTCGGACACTTATTCGGACCCTCTTCCATGATGGCAGATATACAATTATGGTGCTTATTTGCCATTTCCCATGCATTAGGGTTTAAATATTCGGACACTTATTCGAACCGCCTTGCATGATGGCAGATATGTAATTATGGTGTTTACTTGCCATTTCTTATGCATTAGGGTTTAAACACTCGGACACTTATTCGGACACTCTTGCTTGGTGGTAGATATGTAATTATGGTGTTTATTTGCCATTTCTCAAGCATTAGGGTTTACAAACTCGGACACTTATTCAGACCCACTTATGTGATGGCAAATATGTAATTATGGTGTTGACTTGCCATTTCACATGCATTAGGGCTTTAACACTCGGACACTAATTCGGACCCTCATGCATGATGGCAGATATGTAATTATAGTGTTTAATCACCTTTTCTCATGCATTAGGGCTTTAACACTCGGACACTAATTCGGACCCTCATGCATGATGGCAGATATGTAATTATAGTGTTTAATCACCTTTTCTCATGCATTAGGGCTTTAACACTCGGACACTAATTCGGACCCTCATGCATGATGGCAGATATGTAATTATGGTGTTTACTTGCCATTTCCCATGCATTAGGGTTTAAACTCTCGGACACTTATTCGGACCCTCTCGCATTATGGCAGATACGTAATTATGGCTTTTACATGCCATTTCTAATGATTTAGGGTTTAAACACTCGGACACTTATTTGGACCCTCTTGGATTATGGAAGATACGTAATTATGGTGTTTGCTTGCCATTTCTCATGCATTAGGTCTTTAACACTCAGACACTTATTCGGACCCTCTTGCATGAGGGCAGATATGTAATTATGGTGTTTATTTGCCATTTCTCACGCATTAGGGTTTAAACACTCGGACGCATATTCGGACCCTCTTGCATGATGGCAGATATGTAATTATGGTGTTTAATCACCATTTCTCATGCATTAGGGCTTTAACACTCGGACACTTATTCGGACCCTCTTGCATGATGGCAGATATGTAATTATGGTGTTTATTTGCCATTTCTCATGCAATAGGGTCTAAACACTCGGACACATATTCGGACCCTCTTGCATGATGGCAGATATGTAATTATGGTGTTTACTTGTCATTTGTCATGCATTAGGGCTTAAACACTCGGGCACATATTCGGACCCTCTTGCATGATGGCAGATATGTAATTATGGTGTTTACTTGCCATTTCTCATGCATTAGAGCTTAAACACTCGGACACTTATTCGGACGCTCTTGCGTGGTGGCAGATATGTAATAATGGTTTGATTATTCATCACCACCAATAAAAATAAAAACAAAAACAAAAACAAAACAAAATTGAACCTTTCTAACAAAATAAATTTAAATTTTAAAATTTATCAATTTAAATCCTGATTTTTTGTTTTATTTTCAATCTAAATTATCTACCTATTTCGTTAATTAAAATCAACAAAAAAAATATTTTAGTCATTAAACTAATTAAAAATGATATTTTAAGCATTTATATTGAGTTTAATAGATAAAATATATATTTTTTATTTTATTTTATTTAAACAAAAATAAATGAATGGTTTAAATTAAAAATAAATTAAAAAATTAGAGTGCAAATTTACCAAATTAACAACTCAGTGTTCATTTGTCATAAATATCAAACTCAAATTTTTTTTTTTTGTAATTGTTTTAGAAAGTTATTATAATTTACTTCAACATATATCTCTTGTAAATTAAATGTGAACAGGACCAATGTACTACAATGGAATATACCATTTCTTTTACCAGTACAATCCCAAAGGCGCAGTTTGGGGCAACATTGTGTGGGCCCATTCGGTATCGACGGACCTCATCAATTGGAAGCCACTTCCTCCAGCAATCTACCCTTCAAAGCCGTTCGATCAATACGGTACTTGGTCTGGGTCGGCCACAATTCTCCCAGGCAACAAGCCCATCATACTCTACACTGGGATAATTGATAAAAACAACACACAAGTCCAAAACTATGCAATACCCGCCAACTATTCGGATCCATACCTCCAAAAATGGATAAAACCCAACAACAACCCGTTAGTGTTCCCGGTCGGTGTGAATAAAACTGCTTTCCGTGACCCGACAACTGCATGGTTCGGCAAAGATGGGCATTGGAGGATTTTGGTGGGAGGAAGGAGAAAACATAGAGGGATGGCCCATTTGTATCGGAGTAGGGATTTCATGAAGTGGACTAAGGCCCAACACCCATTGCATTCTTCGGCCATGACGGGTATGTGGGAATGCCCAGACTTTTACCCGGTATCTTTGGATTCTGAAAATGGGTTGGAGGTTTCTGTGATTGAGGGAAATATTAAGCATGTTTTAAAGGTGAGTTTGGATGAAACAAGATATGAGTATTATACAATTGGAAAATATTTCTCGAAGATTGATAAATATGTACCAGATAATACATCCGTTGATAGTTGGGCCGGGTTGAGATATGATTATGGAAATTTTTATGCATCAAAGACATTTTTCGATTGTGGAAAGAATCGGAGAATCTTGTGGGGGTGGGCTAATGAGTCAGATACTTCTATTGAAGATGTTAAAAAAGGTTGGGCTGGAATTCAGGTAATATTTATATTTATATACATATATATATATATATATATATTTAATAAAGAGTAAATTATAAATATACTTCATGAGATTTGTTTAAATTACAGATTGCGCTCTGTAGTTTGAAAAATTACAAATATCCCGTTATTAAAATTTTTTATTTAACAGAATTAACTAAAAAAGTGAAATTCATAATTGCTCTCTTATATAATAATAAAATTATCTAAATTATTAATTGAAACATATTTTTAACGTCATTAAAAACTATTAATTTACTTGATGATTTATTAATAAAAGGGACGATTTGTTATGAAATTAAAAACCTCAAGGGTGGAATGTAATTTTCAAAACCACAGGAAGCGATTCATATTTTAATCAAATCTCAGGAAGTATATTTGTAATTTACCCTTTAATAAATCATGAGTACATAATGAATCATAATACACTCACATACTTGTACATTACTATTTGAGGATCTCCTTTTCATTGATTAAGAACTTAAGCTTAATTTTTTTTTTAATGGCATTATTTTAGACAATTCCGAGAAAGGTCTGGCTTGATAAAAGTGAAAAACAGTTAGTACAATGGCCGGTTGAAGAATTAGAAACTCTAAGGAGGAGAAAGGTTCACCTAAGTAATCAAAAGCTCAATTTGGGAGACCATGTTGAAATCAAAGAAATTACAGCTGCACAGGTTTGATTCTTGTAGTAGATTCTCTATTCTAATCATCTTGTTTTGTGGCACCAAAAATGACCACCTTCTTTAAACACTTTCATGAATAGAATTCACAAACATGGTTGATCATCCCTTCACATGCATTAACATATTAGGAAGCATGGGTGAGATAGAACGGGTGCAAGTACAGATATGAATATGAATATATTGATATGGTAAAATTTACAAATGTTAAGATATAGATATGGCATGTTCATTTAAAAATATATTTATTATAATTTGTACTAGTACGTGACATAAAATAATTAAAAAACTAAAATCTTTTGTAATGGTCCAAAAAAAGAAAAAGAAACCTAAGGTTTTTTTTTTTTTTTTTAACATTTTTAATAATTGCAAAAATATTCTATATTTATTAAAATATATTTTTAAAAATATCCTATATTTGTTTAGGTATATCTATATCCAAAAATATATATATATTTATGCTCCTGTAAGTATCCACAAAAATATTCGAAATACACTCAGCTCATATCTAGCTGCACTAGTTTCATACCCAAAGTATTTCTTATGTACTTGGAGTATATTCAGACTAATCCATGATGATTAAGCAAGATACAATCCACAATACATCAACAAATCAGGGGAGTGCACTATGCACTTGACCCATGATTGGCGAGAAGCCAATCAAACACCCAAACTAGTGCACTATGCACTCAGCTCATATCTAGCTGCACTAGTTTCATACCCAAAGTATTTCTTATGTACTTGGAGTATATTCAGACTAATCCACGTAGTCATAAAAGTAAATAATTGGTATTCGTACAACAATATTTGCGGAGCACAAATGCCCTAATGATGTAAAAGTTATGCAATAGCATTAATGAAAGTTCGTTATACACTAGCTCTGATAATTATGCAGGCTGATGTTGAAGTGACATTCTCATTCCCAAGTTTGGACAAAGCTGAGGCATTTGACCCTAGTTGGGTTAACATGGATGCCCAAGAACTTTGTAAACACAAGGGTTCAACTGTTCAAGGTGGGGTTGGACCATTTGGGCTTCTGACATTGGCTTCACAACACCTTGAAGAATACACTCCTGTTTTCTTTAGGGTTTTTAAGGCCAAAGACAATCATGTAGTTCTCATGTGCTCTGATGCTACAAGGTTTGTTTCTTTTAAGTATTTGTTTTGTGTTATCAGTTTTTGTACACAACACATGATAATAATTGTTTTTAATGATAAATTACAAATACACTCATATAATTTGTTTAAAATACAAATTGTCTCTTATAATTTGAAAACTTCAAAAAATATCTCATTATTACAATTTTTTATTTAGCAAAATTAACTTAAAAAACTTAAAATTCCGAACTGTTATCTTATATAATAATAAAATTACTTGAATTATTAATTAAAACAAAATTTTGACATTATTAAAAATTGTTAATTGACTTGATGATTTATTAATAAAATGGCTATTTGTTATGAAATTAGAAACTTCAAGAGGCTGGATGTAATTTATAAACTACATGACACAATTCGTATTTTAAATAAATCTCAAGGAATATATTTATAATTTATCCTTATTTTAATTGTTTTAACATTTGACTTTTGACAGTTCCTCTTTGAAGAAAAAGCTGTACAAGCCATCATTTGCAGGTTTTGTGAATGTGGATTTAGCAGAAAACGAACTTTCCCTTCGAAGTTTGGTAAGGCTTTTTGTGTTTTTGTTTCTAAATTCTCTTTTTTGATATCTCATTCTGTCTAAATTAAGATTTTAAATTGAACAAGTTCAGTCAGCCTAAACATCTATCCAAGCTTTATGAAAGGTGTATAGGGATCTACTCAAGTCTGAGTTTAAATGAATGCCTGAGCTTGAGTTTTGCCTAAACTTTTGCTCAAACCTTTAACCTGAGTTTAACTCAAAAGAAATTAGTCTAGGCTCAGGTTGCCTAAATTCAAACACACACACACATACACATAAAAAAAAAGAAAAGAAAAGAAAAGTTTTTTTAAACTAATGTCGAAAAAATATCTCCAAAAATACAAAAACAAACTATAATAAACATTAGTTTGAGTTATGTGTATCCAACAAAATATATTACACTATGATATGGTGAGAAAATAATCCCTAATTTATAATATTTCACATTTATTATATATAATATATTAATTAATAATAGAATTCAGTTTACTCGGGTTCTAAAAACCCTTGCCCAAATTAAATTTGGGTCAACAAGTCAACCCAGGTCGCCCTAAAAATTTCAAATTGTACTGCTCAAGTCTTAAAATTTTTTGAATTGAACTTGAGTTGCTCAAGTTAGGTCTGGTTGAGTTACACCCCTACTTTAAAGGCTACAGCTGATTGTGAACCTTCCTTTTTTTTTTTTTTTTTTTTTTGGCAGATTGATAATTCTGTTGTGGAAAGTTTTGGTGCCGGAGGAAAAACATGCATAACATCTAGGGTTTATCCAACCCTAGCAGTATTCAAGGATGCTCATTTGTATGTATTCAACAATGGTACTGAAACGGTCACAGTTGAGAATCTGGATGCCTGGAGCATGAACTATCCTTTAATGAATTAAGTGGAGATGTAAAATAAATAAATATGACAAGGGTTAGTTAGACCAAGATCCTCTCAATTATTACTAAGTATCATTTTATCTACTTATCTATGAACTTGTACATATTGACCCCTCCAATTATAAAAATTTTACAAATATACCCTTTTTTGAGGTGATCCAGAGGAGATGAAACTGATATATTTTTAAAGTTGAGGGGATCAAAATTTACGGGTTCATATATAAGGGGAGAAATTGATATTTCGCTAATAATTGAAGGGATCTTGGTGTAAGTTACACGTAAGATAAAGTTCTTACTAATATCTTCATATTGTTATATTTGTATGGTTTTATATGGACCTAAAAAATAGTTATTAAGTACCTTGTCAAAATTTATGAGTTCCAGTCTATGTTCCACAGTTGAAAAAAAGGATGTAGAAAATGGTGAAAGTTGTGAGTAAATAAGTACTGGATTTTATTTGGGTATTTCTTTTTCAAACCAATAATTACTTGCAAAGAATCATCATAAATATTTTTCATGCAAATTGTTATTTTTGTTTTGTTTTGTTTTATTTTTTTCATGCAAAATGTTTTGTTTTACTTTTTTATTTTTTTATTTTTTTTGAGTAGTGTGTATGTTATTAATAATGTAATAATTAATTTTGCCAATGCCTATTTTAAGAAAAGTTATTCAATAGTTGTGAGGAAATGATTTGTATGATACTTTACTATTAATTAATTTATCTAGTGGATTTGATCACTTTTACATCTCGACAAATGTCAATAGACAAGTGTAGAGTATTAAGAACACCTAATCAGAGACAAGTCAAGTCTATTTGAGGCTTAATGCAATAAATCTAAATGGGGCAAGTACAGCAAATTTTACACTGTTACTTCTATTTTTAAGGGAGATTTGGCTAAAAGCTCTCATCATAAGATTAAATGGGGCAAGGGATTGGATTGCAAGTCTCTGTAGAAAAAATCAAGATACAAATTTTTGGTATATAGTCTTGTAATTCCATGTATGTGTGCCTATAATGAATAGGATTTGGACCCTCCATTGTTCTGAATAAACTTGTTTGGTAACCTTATTTATGGGATCTTATATATTTTGTTTTAGTTTCTTGTGAAATTTTATTATTTTATCACTAGTTTTCAATCCCGTGCTAATTTAAAAATTTAAATTTTAAATTAATAATTAAATATAATAAATGTATATTTTTAAATACAAATATCATAAGCTACATTTTTTTAGGAATACCATTCTAGTTGTGTACTCACTTAATAACAATAAATTACGAGTTTCATTTTGATAATTTGAATCATTTATTTGTAAAACACTTTGTGTATATTATTCATAATAAAAAAAATTAGTCGATCTGATAATTATAACCCCTCTATTTTGTCACGTTTGTTTCAAACAAATGGAGAATAAAAAATAATAGGAAAAATTATACAAATAATCTCTATAGTTTACACAATGTGTTAATTTGATCCCTGCAGTTTCAATTTGCTCGATTTTATCCCTTAATTTAACGGATTGTGTCATTTTAGTCCAATAAATAACGGTTGTTAAGTTAATTTAACGGAAAGTCAAACAATATGTCAATTTGGTCCCAATATTTTTTACAATGTGTCAATTTAGTCTCTGTCAAAATCGAGAAAATTGAAAATACAGGGACCAAATTGACACATCGTGTAAAGTATAAGGACCAAATTGACACATTGTTTGACCTTCCGTTAAATTAACTTAACAATCGTTATTTGTTAGACTAAAATGACACAAATCCATTAAATTAAAGGGTAAAATCGAGCAAATTGAAACTACAGAGACCAAATTAACATATCGTGTAAACTACAGGGACTATTTAAATAATTTATCCAAAATAATACAATTATAAAAAATTCAATTACATAAAACACATTTATATATACATAGAAGATGTTATGCATATACAGTGTCCGACAAAAATTATCCACAAGATAGGTTAGGTTAGATATCAGAATCACTGGATTAAATTTGTAATTAATAATTTTAATTTTAATGATTTATTATTAGAATGGTTGGTTATAGATCTGCATGCAATGTTGCGTGGGTTGCTTGCCCGAGTGTTTACAAGTTGGTTAAGAAAGGCTCAATAAAATATTTTTTAAAACACATGTAACACATTTATTAAGTTTCTTCGAGTATATGAGCTATTTTATTCTCTCCCCCCCCCCCCCCCCCCCAAAACCCCCCCCCAGTGGCTAGATTTTTTTACAAAAATGAATTGTTCCTTGGTGCAGTATTTGGCCCCTTTTGTTAATATTTGTCATAATTTTGTTTTTTTATTTGATTCAATCTTGAATGAATGTTTCTTTTTCTAGAAATTGTTGATGAATTGTCTGTGAGAGGGAGTTTTTATATGCATTAGCGCCGAGCTAGGCCAAGGTGTAATGATGGGCCGTGGTAAAAAGGGCTTTACAAATATGGTTACAGTTACCACGGTCGGAGTGGTGATAATTAGCTCGGTTATAGTATTTGGAGCCGAGGTATTTTGGCTTCTTATGGTGGACCTTGCTATTTGTTAGCTCGGTCAAAACTTGATGTAGATAGCTCGGTTTTGACAGACAAAACCGAGGTACCGAGCTATGAGCTACAGTGAAGGCGTTGGATTGAGTATGACAAAGGTTAGCCCAGTTATATTGTCATCCCACCGAGGTAAAACTATCTCACTTGGTTTAAGCAGTGAGGATGGTGTTAAAGGATAAACATTATCTTTCAAGAGTGTGATTCCTAGAAGGACTCTATATGAAGGAATAAGAGTCCTACTAGGATTATGTTAGACAAAAGTTATAAAAGCTCACAACAGAACCTATGGTGAGGTAACACAACTTTAATTCTCGAATACACAGAGCTTTTATCTATTTTGCTGACTTAGGCATCGGAGAGGTATTCGGCACACACCCGCCGGCTAGCTCACGTTTGTGTTTTCAAGGAGTAAAGCGACGACGTTTGGAGGAGCGCAGACTTGATCAACAGGATTATACGAGAAAATAATTTCATACTCGTACAGTCTGCATATCTGTTGAATGGGATTTGGCAATTCTTTTTTTTTCGTAGGATCAAAAATCTATCTTACTTCTGAATGGAATTTCTTAAAATAAGTATCAATACTCAACACTTGAAATATTTTAGGATGATAGTTAGATCAGTGAATAGATGCTTATCCTCCTATATATCTACATGTTTTGAAAACATATTCTCTGTGTCCCTCTTAGATAAAGACCTTGATTTTATTTTCATCCCCTGACAAAGTTATCAAGATTTTGGTTCCTAGATTTCACTACAACATATAAGAGATTTAGAGACGAAATTTTTTAGTCTCTAAAAATGAAAATTTTGTTGCAAAAAGTATTTAGGGATCAATTTCTATCGTCATGAAGATAATTGCTAAAAAATCATCCCGAAAAGTGAAAAATAAGACTTTTAGCGACATGAAAATGTCATTAATAAATAGACTTTGATGGACAAAATAATCTGTTATCAAAATAGTTTATTTTTTGAAATAAAAAATTTAGTCCCAAAAGGATAATAATTCATCACAAATCTTTAATTCTCGTTGCTAAAAATATAATAATAACACTTTTCGCAAAAAAAAAATTAATTCTTAAAAAATAATTTTATTTCTAAATTTTAGTTTTTAAAATCTTAATTTTTTTGCAGTATTCATGTTGTAAGTTGGTAACCATAAGGTGAGTTGCTAAAAATATAATAATAACACTTTTCGCAAAAAAAAAATTAATTCTTAAAAAATAATTTTATTTCTAAATTTTAGTTTTTAAAATCTTAAATTTTTTGCAGTATTCATGTTGTAAGTTGGTAACCATAAGGTGCATTAGAAACTACTATTGATCTCACTATTGATGGTGGAGGACACATTGAAGTCATGATTGAGATATGAGGGAAGAAATGATAAGGTGAATTACTAAGTTCAATATATTTTTCTTATTGTCTCGGGCTCTCTTCACTGTTCCTCTTCTTTTTTTTTGTATTTCTCACCAATTATGATCATGCAATCAGGTAGTATACAAACTTTGATATGACTGGCTGGCCCTTTGGCCATCAAATTTCGTTTAAGTGAATGATTTAAATTGAAAATAAATCAAAGAATTAGAATTTAACTTGATAAAATTAAAATTTTAAATTTATCATATTGAAAATATTAATTTTTGATTTTTTTTTGTAATTTTTTCAATAGTGAATTTTCTTCTCCCCCCTCACTAGCCAATTAAAATTTTGATTTTTTTTTTGTAATTTTTTTGTAAAATTTAAAAAAAAAAAATTGTAATCAATTTTTGTATTTTTTTGTATATATATATATTGTATAAAAGATTATGCACATCATCAATTGTGTTTGGGAACTCATAAAAGTAACTTTTTTTTTTTCTCTCTTTAGCATTTTTTTTTAAAAATTATGTCAAAAAATTTAAGTTTTGCAATCTGTCAAGAATAATCTAAAAAGTAATCAGTGTGTTTGGTTTGAATTTTCTGAATTAAGTTTTTTGAAAATGGAGTTTTTTGATTTTCGTATTCTTTTGTTTTTAGTGAATATTTTTTAAGTTTTAAATATTTTTTTTTACTTTTTAGATGCACCTTAATTACATGTATCTAAAAAGTAAAAAAATTGTGAAAAAATATTTTAAAAAATTAATAAATACATAAAAATACAAAAAATGTACTGAATTTTTATATTTTTTTTTTGTATTTTTTGTATTTAGTGAATTTTTAAAAGATTTTTTTTTACAATTTTTTTACTTTTTAGGTGTATTTATGTTAGGTGTGTCTAAAAAATTAAAAAATTGCTTAAAATGTTAAAAAAAACAGCAAAAACAAAAAAATACGAAAAATAAAAAAGTATAATTTTCTAAAAAGTGTTTTTTAAAAAATAAAAACAAGCAAGCTGAATTTTTTTTTGAAAAATTCCAAGTTTTTTTAATTTCAAAAATTCAAAATAAGCACACACAAAAAAAAGTTATTATTTTTTTTAAACTTATTTTTTGTCTTTTTTTTATTTATTTTATTTTTAATTTTTTAGTTCATCCTGCCGAGTTGAGTCTAGAAAATTGAACCTTTTTGAAAGATTTTAAGATAAAATACCAAATCTTATTTCCTATCATATGATCTGTTTAGTCCTTTGTTATTTCTTGTACTCCGAAAAGTTCTATTTATTTATAAATTACTTACTAGCCCAATTTATACATGTGAGGGTGCTAGGTTTCAGGCATAAAATAAGAATTTTCTCATTTTATGAAATTACACATTTGCTCAAAATACGGGTTTTTGCAATCCTAGTTGGCATGATTGAAGAATCCCGCACAATGTGATGCGTACCCACACTTTGTTGACAATGTGAATGTGGCGTTTTTCTGTGTTATCGGGTGATCTGTCCATCGGGTGCGTGGTGGGTGTGGTAATCTTTCGATTATGCATACCCACTACTTTGCGGAAATTTTATTTCCACACACCACATTATCTTTGTGCACATCTTTTCTCACTCCACTCACTTGATAATTTGATTTTTAAGTATTTAGCTCAATTTACACACACCACATTCCAAATATACCATTTAATAAAAAATGTGTACACACCCTTATTTTCTTCATCTTCCAAACTCTAACCCTAGCCAACAACCACCTTGTGAGCACTAATTTACTAAATTAAGTTACATGTTTCTTTCTACTTACCTTAAGCGTGCCAGTAGATCACTAAAGAAAAGTTATATCTACACTGTTTTATCAAGAAACAAGGTGCTTTTCCTTCTTTTGAACTAACAATGTCCATGTGATTTCTTCACATAGCTAACAATACCACATCCCATGCTTCCTTTTTATGATTATCAATTACCAATCCTTCTATGTGATAATCCAAAACATTGTTTGGCAGACGGTACATAGAATTACAAAGACATATTACGTTAAATATAAAACAGATCTCATAATATTTTCTTAGACTTCTAAAATGATTCACAAATAATTGGTTCTATAACTCCATTATTTTCTTATCTTCTTTATTTCTAATTGTTGTCAATGGCTACTGGTAGTAGGTAGTGGCTAGGGTTTTAATTGAGGGTTAGGGTTTTGATTTAAGGGGAAAGAAATATTTTGGTAGTTTTATTTTAAGACAAAAATGTAATAAAAAAAATTTCATTAAGTGTGTTGATAGAGAGTAACTGGTGTGTGGAAATAGAATTTTCCATTACTTTGAGAACAGCTGTAAATGTGGCATGTCATGTGTCATTGAGTAACCGGTTCATCTCACTACAAGAATTAACACTTTTGGCAACAAAAAAATTGGTCGCTAAAAGTCAATTTTTGGTCGGCAAAAGTTATCCGCGACCAATTTTTTTGGTCGCTACTTTGGTCGCCAATTGAGGGTCGGCAAAAGTAATTCGCGACCAAAATTTTGGTTGGTCGGCAAAAGTTGGATTTGCCGACTAAATTTTTGGTTGCTAAATATTTAATTACCGCGACTAATTTATTTTGTCGCTAAAACACTTTGGTTGCGAAAAGTGATATTTTCCCGACCAAATTTCTTAGTCGCTAATTGTCACATTTTGCGACCAAAAAGTTTGGTCGCCAATTATCACATTTCGCGACCAAAAAATTTGGTCGCCATTTGTTACTTTTCGTGACCAAAACTTTTGGTCGGCAAAAGTGAGATTCCACGACCAAGAGTTGTTTTGGTCGGCAATTGTCATTTTTTGTGAAAAAAAAATTATTTATTTGTCGCGACTAATAAATTGGTCGCCAAAGCAGGAAAACAATACACCTATAATTCCTAATAATTCATTCAATCCATAATAAACTTATAATTTTAAAGCAACACTCAAATTAACTGAATCATTAACATTCGACACAATACATAATTCATTAACATTCGACACAATATTACTATTCTAAGTTTTCATTCACAAGTCACATCCATCTCGCATAACAATTTGAAACAATACATAATTTAGATTTACAGCATCAGGAAAATTGCTTAATCCACTAAGTTGCCTTGATAGCCAATCAAAAAGATCTTTGCGGCCTTCCGTGCCAAGCTTCGCATCCATCAAAGCAGTAGTGATGTAAGGCACCTAATAAAGAAACAGAATTGGAAAATTTATCAAAGAAGCATGATAAATATATAAAATTAATTAAAAAATAAACGAAATAGAGAAATTGGAACCCAATAGTCGAGGCAATGCTCTTTACGTATGTGAATGTATTATAAATTTCTCACCTTTATTGGTTTTTCAAAACAATAGTCGAGGCAGGGTTTCTGGTACAGTACAGAACTCTCTGTGTCCATCTGGACTACCAGATGAGGTTCTACTGGTTCTGATCGATTCCCCTCTCCACCTTGATCAACAAAAGAGAGATAATACCAGGAGCTGTTTGGTCTCACACAACCTTTTTTAACTTTTCTGCAGGAACTCTTAAAGACTTCCACGAGTGGACAATACCGCTGACCAGGAAGCTGTTTAAAATGAATGTGAGTGAACTCCAATCAAATTACATAAACCAAAGCAGATAACCAAGCTTAAATTCAAAAATATTATGATTGACTCATGAACACTATTAAATGATCTCAGGTATCACACGTCAATTCAAGCTATCCCACTTGAAATTAATAAGAAAATGGCAAGAGCACAAAAGTTGTGCCACTTCCAGTATAATGCATTCTCCAAGTCAATTTTCACAACATAGAAAGCCATCAATAAAGAGCTGAAAACCCAAGCCATGGTTAACTCTCAATAAAAAATTAGAAAATCTGGAGAATCAAGATTTTTTTTATAAGCATTACCAGTAGCATTTTAACATATATACATACATATATAAACAACAAACCCAAGGAACAAGGTGAAGTCTTTATGTTGACCATCTTCATTGAGTTATTTTTAGGATTTCCAGCATCCTATATTTTGGGATTTCTAGCTAGATGCACTTCTAATTTAGTATATCATTTACTATCTCAAAAGTGTGGAATGCACTTACCTTTTGTAACTCTGAGACCACAAAGAAGACAGAGCCAGTGTTAACCGTGTCATAAAGTCGAATTCGAACCAATTCTCTGCTACATGGTTCAGGCGAGTTCACAGATAGAGGGACATGATCAACTCCCCTAGGAATAGAAAGTGTATTCTCCCAGTACCCTACATAACGCCGTTGGCTTGGTATTGAGACCTGTCCAATACATGCAAATCAATGAACTTCTAAACAAAATACTCATAACTACCGAAAGTCAAGACTGGCTAATGAATCCAATACCATCCTTTAACATGTTCAATTTATTAACGTATAGATAGTTCAATACTAAGTAGCCCTAACCAACCCAAGGTTTCTTAGTTTGATTCCGCTAGTTGCCCACCCAAACCAAACCGACCCATACACGTCCCTGTTCCTTCGTGAACCAATTTGGAAACTGAAAATGTGCAAACTGCTAAATTGCATTTCGTTGTCATTTACTTCACAAAGTCCTACATGATAGCCTTTTATACATAATATGACTTCCTCCTTCATTATTGGTAGTCCGTTTATGTGCATACACTTGAAGAGCCTCCTCTGCTGACATGCCACTATAAACAAGGTAAGCAGATGCATTTCATATAAAATACATTCCAAATTTCAACCATATAAACTCATCTCAGACATTAGTGTAACAACCCTTGTACTGTTTACTGATTAATGACTGATTGATTACCGATAATCACCGATTACTGTTAAACGATAATGACTGATGACTGACTGAGAATTGAACTGATTAAAGTACTGAACTGACTGACCGAAATTGAAACTGAATTGAGTGAATGCATCTGTTTGAATTGCATTTTATCTGTTGACTGTTTGTTTGATCTGTTCGTGTTTTATGTTTAAACTATTAATTGAAGGCCTTATCGGCGGCCGAACCGGAAAAGGGTTCAGGTATTACTGATCGTCATATTTAATATGATTTTATCGTATATTAATCTGAAAAAACTGATAGGTACGATTAAATTAGATTAAATATTGATCAACTTGGCGAGTTGGCCCTTATTTACGAACTACTTAGTGACCACGTAATCTCGCACACACAAACTTGAGAAGCCTTATACAATTGAATCAAACATTTCGTTTGGCCTATTTGTGAGACCTAGCGACGTAGTAGATGATGATGTATGAGAGTTGAGGAGTTGAGTCATCTCAATATCTGCTTGGAAATGTTGAAGATATTGCTTGAAGGGTAGATTGCATATTTGAGCTCCCTTCTTACTACAAGACTAAGAGGTTACTAGTTTCCTCCAATTGTCCTTTCGTTGTTTCGTTTGTTGTTCCATGGTTCATGTCATATTGATGAGTGTAGATGCCAAAACATGGTTTAGATGTTGAAATTTGTGCTTTATTGTTGCATGCATGTATATATATTGAAAGTTTTTGAGGTTGTAGGCCACGTTTCCTCACATGCATGTCCATCTTTTGGTCATACTCCATGATTCATCTTGTTTTTGAAGGTTTGAGCTCATTTGAACAGATTAAGAGCTTTGAAAATGATTTAAGATTCATGCATGTGTTGCATGTTCTACATGTTCTAGGAAATGTTTGAAATTGGATGAATTAAACACAGCCTTGGGCTTTGATTTCTTCAAATTGAGCTTTGAACCATGTTATTCATTTGTTATTAAATGTTTTCTGGAAATTCAGTCCCAAGAGACGGTTTTGATGCATTTAAACTTGAGTTTGAGCTTGGAGGGTGCAATATGGGTTTTCCAGATTTCGCACTTCTGCTCGAGCGTGGAATCCGAGCAACCAGCATCTCTCTGCACTGTTTACAGTCGCTTCGATGCTGAGATCGGGTGCCGGAGCCGAGTCATGTCTAAGCTCGAGCGGCGTCGAGCCGTGAGCCATTTCCACATCCAGTACTTTTACAGTTACGCTCGAGCGCGGAAAGTTTACGCCAGCGGTTACTCTTTTTGCATGACCGCTCGCGGGAAACATGCGCTCACAGCGGACTCTGTTTTTCTGAAAACTGCTTTTAAGGTGCCTCCCTTGCATCCTCATCCTCCTAGGCATTCTAGCCTAGTTTAAGACATCTAGTGAGGAGATAGAGGTGGAACACCACCGAGCCAATTAGGAATTAAGTTGTATATTTCCCAGAGCGTGCCCATAGCTTAGTGTGTTCAATCTGTTAACTGTGTAGGGTTTGGCGACCTGGGGAGACACTGCTCTAGCTTACTGTTAGCCCGAACTCTGTGAGAGAACAATTGTTACTAAGATAATGTTCCAAATGATTATCGCTCTGAATAGCTGAGACTGAAGCTGTTTACTGAACTGTCTATTGTTTACTGAATGAATGCTATGTCCTATATTCTAACTGCTGCTGTGGCATCCTTGGCATCTACTGTTACTGTACTCGTTACAGAGATCTCTGTCGTTCCCTCGGTGGAACACTAAGTGTTTACTGACTGATGGCCACATTACTGCTAGGTCTTTACGACCTACTTGTTTACTGCTATGCTAATAGTATGTACCACTCATGATTGAATAACTTAGTTCTGACTGAAATACTGATTTAATGGACTGTTTTCATTACTGTAAGGACATTTCATTCATAACCCTTTACGCATTATTTTGATTCACCTGGCTTCTAGCTCACTGTTTAGTATGATTATAATATGTAGGGCTCTCAGCCACCAGACCGAGCTAGGAGCGTGGGTTAGACTCAGTTTTATCAAGCCAGCCTTTGTGCCTCACTGCGAGGTTCCCGAGCCTAACGTGTTAGGGCTTAGGGGTGTTTTACAATTCCCCCTTTTGTACTGTTTCACTGTTCTTATAGACTGAATGTTTACCGTACGTTATCTAGGGTTGAGTCCCTAGTCTGAATGATTGTAAATATTGTGCATACCGTTCTGTACTGTTTACGTAGAAAATGTATGAAAAATCTTTTATATAGACTGTCGCAGCTCATTGGGCAATTGTTTATTTACTGTTTTGGCTTCCGCCAGGCCCTGTACTCTGTTTTACTGTATTACTGTCCTGCAGGCCTTCGGTAATCTCGGATTACTGGCCGGTTACGGTGCTAAACCCATTAGGCCGGGTTTGGGTCGTGACAATTAGTAAACCTATATATAGACAAATGTAAAGCTTCTACTTCATACTATTCTCAGAGAAGATCAATACCATGGAGCTTCCCAGTGGGAAGAGCACAGCTCTCAACAGCTCCAAAAAGGCTATCCTACCAATGCTAACCCTAATTCTTCTCACCACAATCCTCTCTATCTATATAAACAACTCACCCTTCATTACACGGTCCGTAGAGATTAGATCAATAGCTCAGTCCCTTTCTTTCAGAAAACAATTTGTCTTGGCTTTGCATTCTCCCCCAGAATACAACCATGATTCAACAAATGTTAGCTTGGATCAGAAGTGTGACATATTTAATGAAACTGGGTTCCATATCCCAAGGAACCTTACTACTACAAATGAGACTAAATGTGTGATTGATGATCGACAAAACTGGCATGAAGTTTGGGAGACCAGACACAGCAATTTATGAAATTGAGGTGGAAACCAGAGTGAATGTGAGTTTACCTCTCTTTAACAAAGTCAGTTCTTGGAGCTTGTTAGAGGTAGACTTTGGCCTTTTGGGGACTCAGTGCGAAGAACCAAATGCAATCATTGACATGCCTCTGGCTAGTGAAGTTGCTCAGGTAACTTCATAAGCATTATGTATATGATAGATATACATAAACAGTCTAGCATTGGACAATCAGCAGACATCTCCCGTAGAAGTCACCATCACCCGAGGGCCCGGTTGCACCCGATAACCATGCTACGAAAACGTGCTAGGCATCTCTCGGACTCACTTCGATAGCTCATTACGCAAGACACGCCGACTAGCCTCGACGCGGGTATCTCTTACTGTCATCTGCCACACTACGCCATGCTCCAGTAACTCATTAATAGCATTATGTATTAGATAGATATACCCAGTAATATTCAACTTCAAGTCAAAACAACCACCCTTTTCAGTTTTTGATATTATGTACGTCCTGTGTGAGCGATTGGTTACAGCCAGATCTAGCATAAGCTACGCTAGAGCTATACCATCCATGGTAATATGAAGCTACGGGAACTGTTCACTGATAGATGACGCTGTGCTAAAGTAAGGATTACAGCTATCAGACATATGATTATGACAATAGCCCGTGCATAGCCTCGGACGCCACTCGCTCAAATATCCGTATAACAAATAGAAACCCATCAACTGATAAAAGAATTAAGGTACATCTTGAGAGCCCAACAAAATCCCCTGCTTTATTTGAACATTTCTAGAGCTCACAAGTCCCATAATGAATTAGCTGATAGTAAATTAAAAATATAAGTTAAGGTGTGTTGTATGGATCAAAAGTATTCATATTAGCTGCTAATCTTTTCATCTGTACCTTTTTCAGGCAACCATCCAGTAGATGTTTCTGAAGTGCAAGATACAAAATTCAGACGTTGGCTCTACACTGACTACGACTTTACTATGAAAGCACTTTGGTCCCCACTCTGGGTTAAGAACCCGTGACGCTGACCCCAATGGATATTCCCTCAATAGCCGATAACCTATACTTAGATGAGACTGATGAAGCCTGGGCAACTCAAATAAAAGCCTACGACAATCAAAATCATCTGAATTAAAAAAAATGAACACAAACCCTAGAAGACAAATTGACAATCAAACCAAGAAACAAAGTGAGACCAACAATGTCAAAATTTTTACACATAGAAAAAAAGACACCGAACAATGGAGCACTATTGCTACAACACAAAACATATATATATATATATATATACATAAACCCTAAAACCATCGTAAAACCCCAAATCAATGACACTGAACAACACAGCTATACAAAATCAACTCACATGTCGTCGATGTAGATGTGGCCTAGAAGATGAATCGAGAGGGCCATTCGTCCTGGAATGTAATCCCCTGCGTTGAAACCTTAGAGCGAGGAGAGAGAGAGAGAGAGAGAGAGAGAGAGAGAGAGAGAGAGAGAGAGAGAGTAAATATTAGGGTTTGATAAGAAAAGAGATCAATAATATAAATAGAAGGATGGGTAGTGTATGTGCCTGGAGGATGAGGTCGTCGCAGATATTGGCAAATCTTTGTCGTATAGGATTTGGAAGCCATTGCGTCGCTGTGGATCACTCACACGGTTAGATCTCGGCCTAGGATTCAAATCTGATTTAGATTTCGACGATCTTCTCGGATCCGGCAGAGACCACTCAGTGGAGGAGAAGGAGGAGGATCATCGACGACGGTGAGTGTTTAGGGGAGAGAAAGAGAGAGAGAGAGGCACCAGAGGAGGACGGAGGAGGATCATCGACGGCAGTGGGGATCTGCGGCGGTGGCCGTGGCAACCTGTGCCGGTGGTGGTGGTCTGCGGTGAGGTGAGGCTTGGTGGTGAAAAAGAATCTATGTGAGAGGTTTGAACAAATGGTTGTAAACAGAGAATAGGGACGGTGATATATATCCCACGAAAAAAACATTTCACCTTTAGCGACTAAATTTGTTTTTTGTCGCAGAATCTTAACATATAACGACCAAAATTTGGTCGGCCATTGT